CCTTCTCTTCTTCAGGCTGAACAAGCCCAGCTCTCTCAGCCTTTCCTCATAGGACAGATGCTCCAGTCCCCTCATCATCCTCGTAGCTCTCCACTGGACTCTCTCCAGTAGCTCCTCATCTTTCTTGAACTGGGGAGCCCAGAACTGGACAGAGTACTCCAGATGGGGCCTCACTAGGGCTGAGTAGAGGGTTACAGAGGCTTTAATTCATTTCCACAGCTAAACACCTTAGTTTGTGGAAATAGTTATTTCCTTGCACCAGTAGCTTCAGCTGGTCCATGAATTTGTGTAGTCGGTTCCGTAGGAGAGCACTAAAACTCCCCACACCTCCAGGGCTGCAGCTACCTGAGCTCCGTGCGCGGAGGCTGGACCCTGTGCTCCGACGACAGCTCCGCGCCAGGGACGTGTCCAGCTGGGAAATCCCATCACGTGGACACGCTGAAGCCTCTTGCAGCGTCTCCCTGGGGGCTGACAAAGCCTGGCAAGCCTTTCAGCAAGAACCTTGTACGCTTGGCAGCGCAAACGCTTTGTCTCTCTCTGCCATTTGTGTGCTGGTGAAAGCACGGGCGAGCGGAAGGGAGAGGGAGAGGCCGGCGCGTTGCGGTCTGCTCTGGGGTCCCTCGCTGACTGAGGAGCCCCGTGACAGTCTCCGGGCTGCTCGGCTGGGTTTTGCTGTGTCTCTGCGAAGACGTGATGCCACTTGTGAATGGGAGAGAGGAATCTATGTCCCTTCGATGTACTGAATGGTGACAGGAACGCCTGTTTGCTTACCCTCATTGAAGTTCACCAGCTATACCAAAGCTACAGTGTCCATCTACAAATTATGGGAGAAATAAAGTCTTTTCCTGTGCTTTTTGTTTTTCGCCACTCAGGGCAGAGCCGGTACTTTCCCGAATTCAGGAAAATCGGAGAAGGGTCATTCTCCCCTCCATAGACAACATCAAGCAGGACAACTTTGAGGTGCAGCGTTACGAGAACTCTGCCCACGGGTACAGCTGGGAGCTGTGGTGCATGTACATCAGCCCCCCCAAGGAGTGGTGGGATGCCGGGGACCCCTCGCTGCCCATCAGGTATGTCGCAGAGCCCGGGGCCGCTCGCTCTCTGTCGGCAAGGCGCAAGGAGGCGAAATGCAGAAAGATGAAGTGAGGAAGCCGGCTTCGTGGGGTTGGGTGTAGCATCGTAACGTGAGCCAGGCCAGGGAGGCTGCAGCATGAGCCAGGAACGATTTTGCTGGGGTGAAGGGATTTGGAAAGGGTGTTATTTGGTAACAGTATGCAAAAATCACTGTGGGAGCGTAGGAACAGTGTAGATTTGTAGTCTGATGTTTAACTGTATATGACAAAGTCCCTTCACCTTAATTACAGCACTATGTTGCTGCAAATCAGAAGGCAGGAGGTGATTATTCCTGGGTAATGAACTGAGCGTGAATTTCTGAAATACAGCGCTGTTTTTTCTTGACTAAAAAGTGCATCTCCTCTCAGGGCAAACTGTAGAAACACGTCTTGTGTTGTTCTAACCCTTCAGCTTACAGGGTCAGCAGCTCTGTCCTGCTGCCCTCGGCCCCGCCGTACCTCAGGCGTGGGCCAAGCCCCTTCGGACGCATCAGAAGCAGGAGGGGGGGGAAATAGCTCGGTGTGGGTGGGAGGCTGGGGCTGCTCGGTATGCAGAGAGCAACGATTTTCCCTTGGCAGCCCCTGAATATCAGAAGTGATGCTGTGATCAGGAGTGGTTGTGTGGCCGGGTGAACAGGATATATTGCCCTAGCTTCGTTAATATGGAGAAGGCTTGTCCCCAGGCAAGTAACAAATGCGTGTGTGCAAATCCCTGCCTGATCTGAATCCTGAACCCAAGTATCTGTGCTTTGGTCAGTGATACATCCCTGGAAGCTGAAATTAGGTCTGTTCCCATTAACATAGAGACCTTTTTATTCCTGTGCGCTCTCTTGCTCCAGACTGCATATTCAGCCATCAGTGGAGGACCTGACAGTTTATTCTGGACAGGAATCGGGTCTTTGAGGAATAAACGGTTATTTTAACCAAATGCAAGCTGCTGGACTTGTTAAAGGAGGGGCTGAACTGCTGGGGCACATGGCAGGTGAAGCGGAGGAATCCAAAAGCCTCGGCAAGCGAGGCGTGAGCAGCCTGGCGCTGGCAGTCCCTGCGGCAGCGTGGCTCCGGTGCCCAGACCGGTGCCGCTGGAGGATGGTGACAGCGGGCCCTCGCTGCTGGGGCAAGCCTTTCTCAGCCAGCGCGTGTGAAAATCAAGGAAGACTTGCGGGGAAGAGCAACCTCTTTTATTAAAGTGCTGTAGTTGGGAGAAAAGGCAAGTTTGGCGCACGGGATGTCCCCCGTGACTGTGACACCACCCCGGGAGCTTGCTGGGGTGCAAAAACTGGCAGGCAAGGTACATCGAGGAAACTGGACCTGCCCAGAGAAGATATCTGAATGTATGGCAGGACCTGCTGTTCTGCTGTCCTCCAAGAACGTGGCTGTCATTGCTGTTAAGGAGGACAAGCTGTGGCAGAGGCAGGTGGGGAGGGAGAGGCTGGG